TCTCTAACAAAGGATAAGGTAATACGTAAACGGTTCATTTGCGGTGTACTTTTGATAAGGACCGGTGGATGTCCTACATTCCACACTACCTGCCCACATCCCATCCACTTTTCTGCACCAGGTGATCCACCCTGGAGCTCCTGCACCCTTAGCCCTTTGCGGAGGTGTCCATTCTCCTGGTCCAGGACCGTTTCTTTGGGCCATGACAGGCGAAGATGTGAAAGCATCCCAGGGTTCTTCCACAATACACCGATACTTATCAGGCGCATGTTCAAAATGAGTCGATAACGTGCCATGAGCGCTAATATTCTTAGCTAGATATCTACATTTTCACCTTCGGAGCACTGAAAAAATTGAAAATCAGATTCTGCTACAAAGAATCAGCGAAGTGATACACACCTAGTTCCTTTTTCGCACAAACGATATGGTTGACCCATCCCGGAGCTCCCTCATCCATATTCAAAATTACCGTAATCCGCACAAATTATAACACTTTCCAAATATCACCCGCCCATAATTATTATATATGAGCGTCCAAAAGGATAGCATAAGGAGAGGTGATAAGTGGGCAAAACTGGAGCAGAAGAGCGAATGATTGGAGAGAAAATGAGTAGGTTAGATGTGTGTCATCACCGATTACTGATCATTATGAAGGTACAAGTGGGGGTGAAATGAGGTGTCATAGCGATCAAAGGGGATTACCGATGGGGATCGGACGAGATATCCTTCAACCCGATAGCCGCGATTTAGATCGGCCGTCCTACGTATATGTATCATCATATGGGACGAACAAAAGAAGTAAAGAGAAGGTCAGTCGGCCAGCAGCGCCACCGAATGCGGAGAGGCAATGAGACCGACCCAGTAGTGGCGCGGCAGTAGGAGGAACACATGACGAATGATCCTATAAATTCGTAGGTATCTCTGTTACTCTGCAGAAGTTCTACAAATAAGCCGAGTTCACAAGAAAAGCTGAACGTTGAGCTGCAATTTGTGGTATTGCATAACCAAGCACACTCAGGTCACAATTGTACGGCATACGGTATCCAGCGAACGCAGTGGACAGAATGGACAGACCCGGGTGGAAATCTAAGACCAGACTTCTTTTGGCGGCGGAACAGTCCACAGAGATTGGAATCTGCTGTGCGGATGTGTCCAGTTTCAGAACAAATGTGGTCTCTAAATCACGATAGCATTGAAGAAGGTGAAGTCTCACTCCTTAAGATTAGATGAATTGACGTAAAAGGAAGCTGCCTTAGAAATGAGGTAAGCAGATGTCGAATTTCAAGGGCGGAACTCACAAACATCATTAGCGAGAAGATATTCATGTTCGCCACTTACCAGGAAGGTCTTTCAGGGCGTGCCAAGCTTTTTGAAAACGGTCTTTTGCATGATATAGATGCGGGAACCACAGAACCATGGTTAATTTTTCCTGAACGGCCCTCTGAATACCAGAAAAGGGGGTCCCTAGTTCGATTCCTCGTGGTGACAAATTTTTGCATTTCGAGTTGACGTTCCAAAATTCGCGCAAAATGGAGTTAGCATGAATAATTAGTACCATATTCATGATTAGGACCGTCAGTAACCCTTACAAATAGACTTTGATTTAAAAACTGGTGAAAAAGGTGTCACACCTCTTCACCAATTTTTAATCAAAGTCTTTTTGTAAGGGTTACTGACGGTCCTAATCATGAATATGGTACTAATTATTCATGCTAACTCCATTTTGCGCGAATTTTGAAACGTCAACTCGAAATGCAAAAATTTGTCACCACGAGGAATCGAACTAGGGACCCCCTTTTCTGGTATTCAGAGGGCCGTTCAGGAAAAATTGAACCATGGTTCTGTGGTTCCCGCATGTGCCCCTATATCATGCAAAAGACCGTTTTCAAAAAGCTCGTCCTTCCTGATCAACCCTGCGTTGCGCAAATTCCAAATTTTTACGACCCCCTTCCTTTTCGGGGGTATCGGTATATGTACGACCCCCCATATTAACTATCATGTCTTTCACATAATTTAATGCTCATCAATGCTCATCAATGATGGCAGTCACCAACATGGAGAAGTGGTGGACCGTGGTCAATATCGCGCAGCACGAAGCGGCTTCTGTCTCCGCATACAGAGGGAGAGGAGGAAATCGAGAGGCAAATGAAGTTTTATTCATTAAGAAGGAATTTTCAAATTTTTGCGTAAACCAATACATCATTTTAATCGTAAAGATTTCTACTTTCAGAAACCCACCAGGATTTTTTCGATCTCTCAACTTTCCTTACCTTATAATCTGAAAAACTAAACCTTGTAGCAATTACATTGCAATCCAAACCCCTCCATTCAGAAGGTTATATTTTCTTTCAGAAGCTGTTTCATGAAATCGGACACCAAAATTTTAAAAATATAAATAGTTTTCTTCCTGAGGAGTATTTGAAATGTTGTGGATGTTCAATATTTCAAAAAATCGTCCCGTTGTTCCGTTTTCTGTGCACACGCGAGTTTTTGACATTCAAACATTCATAACTTTCTTCATAATCAACTTTTTGCAAATGTCTAAGGCTAATTAGAAACTAGAAGATTAGAGCTTTCGAACAAGCACCTGAAAATTTTCCAGCGATCATTTTTTCAAAAAATAGTCCCGTTGTTCCGTTCTTGGGTGGTTTGGGGTCCGATTTTTGAGAAGGCGCGAGTTTTCGACATTCAAACGTTAATAACTTTCTTCATACTCAACATTTTGCAGATGTCTAAGGCTAATTAGAAACTAGAGGAGTAGAATGCTTTAGAATAGGTGCTTTCGTTAAGTGGCTAATATTGCTTTGAAATAACACTCGCTCAAAAAATAGTCTCGTTGTTCCGTTTTTTCCACCTCGATTTTTTTCAAGCCATTTTCCTGGACCGCGACTATGCAGTCTTCAAAGGCCCATAACTTCCTTCAAAATTTGATGTGATGAGAAGCGGTAAAGACTGTTGGATTCGCGCGAAACTTAGTCACATGAAAGAAGCCATAAATTTCCAGTTGAACAATTCAGCAAATTCGCTACACTTTGTTTCGCTTAGATTTTATTTGAAAGCATCGAAACTCTCTTCAGAAAGTTTGTCTGCTTACGGCCGCTGACAGAGGAGGCGTTTTTATGGGAAAACGCCTCGGGTATACGCCGTGCACCTATCTGTGGGCAGAGTTCGCACTCGCATTTTGAAGTCTTCTGTTTTCCTGAAGAAGGTGTTAGTATCCTGATTGAGTTGTATTGTGCTGTTATATGGCACTCTTGTTGTTTCACTCCCATGAACTGCTCTACACTTTGTTTTCCTCGGGATTTCAGGAATGTTTCAAAATCGAAGATAGACCATGCTTTGCACTACACTGTAACAAAGTTTTTGGCTATTGTATATTGCACTCTTGATCTGTGCC